GACCCAATGGGTGGCTGATGGACCCAATGGGTGGCTGATGGACCCAATGAACATGGGGGGCTGATGGACCCAATGGGTGGCTGATGGACCCAATGAACATGGGTGGCCGATGAACCCAATGGGTGGCCAATGGACCAATGGGTGGCTGATGTCCCCAGTGAAGATGGATGGCCATCCATGGAGCTCCCATGACCATTTCTCTCTGCTCTCTGGCTGCAGGGCGAGGCCCTGAGGCAGGTGTTGGTGAACCGCTACTACGGCACCGTGCGAGCGGCCGGCCGGCGCGAGAGCCTGACCACCTTCGGCAACGGACCCCTGTCCACCAGCAGCTCTGGCAAGGCCGGCCCAGGAGGTAGGACATGACAACACAGAACACACTCATCGTCCCTGGGATGCTTTATCTGAAACAGAGGTCAGACAAAGTTAAGAGAATGAGAATACACAACTTTAATCCAGGCCTAACAGGGCTACTGGTACATCAGGGCAGACAAAGCCTCCTCCTGAGGCTACACCCAAAATGGGCCCTGAGTCATGAGATCTTCACTTTTTGTAAGTTCTGCCTTATTAACATATTGGGTGTTAATTCTCTAATGATCTTCACCGCCCCAAACTTGCTCCCCCCAATTCTCTGTTGTTTACATATTTTGGGACTCTGAGGCAGCGAGGTGTCCTTGGATTCAGGCTCAGAGAGGGATTGTTTTGTCTAAAGATGGGAGAACGGTAGTTTTTAGTGCTGTACTAGAGAAGTACAAGAATATAGATGGATGAAAATATAGAAACTAAAAATCCTAAGACACCACCTGGTGCTCTGTGTTCCCAACAAATCAGCACCTCACGGCTGAAGTCCGCAGSGTTTTCCCATGGTTCTTTCTGTGAACTCCCAAAAAGTTCAACTCTCCACGTGGGTGACTGCAGTTGAGAGCAGAATTAGGCAGACAGAGCTCTCTGTACTCCCAGTGACTGCCTCTGGTTGTGTGGAAGTTTATGATGTTGGTTTGAGTAAATGTTCTTAGAAATCCTGATCAATWTATATTTGCAATAATAGCTGAGAAATGTGCTTGTAAGGATGTCAGATAGTCAGCCATGTCTGAAACAAAACCATTTCATGGTATTGCAGAGATCGTGGGAGATGATGAGCAAAAACTCCATTTGAAGTCAGTTATCCAGAGAAGTTTATTTAATTTGAGGCTGTTGCTAAAAATCAAACCATAGAATGATAAANCAAAAACTCCATTTGAAGTCAGTTATCCAGAGAAGTTTATTTAATTTGAGGCTGTTGCTAAAAATCAAACCATAGAATGATAAAATGGTTTGGGTTGGAAAGACCTTAAAACTCATCCCATCCCACCCCAGCATGGCAGTATTGCCTTGAAAGGCCAGTTTTTAATAATGACACAGACACGGTTAAGGGGATAAAAAGGGTTTTACCTCTGTATTTGGGATCCCAGGTGCACAACTTGATGACAGAATGCACACCCATGTACAGCACAGGTACAAGTTTTACAGATTTCAGGAATTAGAATATCTATCTAGGATTCCCCAATAAGATACAAGTTTTATAGGTTTCAGGAATTAGCAWWTCTATCYAGGATTCCCCAATAAGATACAAGTTTTATAGGTTTCAGGAATTAGCATATCTATCTAGGATTCCCCAATAAGAAACTTCACAAATGCAGTGATGTCCCCCTATTCTAATGAATCTCCCCCCAGATGAGGCCAGAGCCCAGTTTACACAAGATGTTCCAGACAGAAGGCTTCACCCAAGGCTGAGCTCGGGTTTAAGCTTCACCCAAGGCTGGAGCTCAGTTTTAAGCTTCACTCAAGGCTGGAGCTCGGGTTTAAGCTTCACCCAAGGCTGGAGCTCAGTTTTAAGCTTCACTCAAGGCTGGAGCCTCGGGTTTAAGATAGCACAGGGAACACTGACCCCTTCCTCAGGATGTTTGGTCCCTCTGCCCAGCAGAACTCCTAAACTAAGCTGGAATATCAGGGTATAGGAATTACAAGCATGTGGGCTAAGGGGTGCAGGGGAATGCATAGAGGGCACAGAAAGTGTAAAAAGGAAAAGCAAAAATCATCAGGCATCAGCAGGGACACCTTCCACTGTCCCAAGCTGCTCCAAACCCCAATGTCCAGCCTGGCCTTGCCATCCCTGTGGGGTCAGTGCTGACATTTTTCCCCTGCTCACCCTTCCAGGAGGAGGCTCGGGGTCGAGCTCCATGAGCCGAGGGGAGATGAGCCTGGCAGATGTGCAGTGCCACCTGGATAAAGAAGGTGCTTCCAACCTGGTGATCGAYCTCATCATGAATGCCACCAGTGACAGAGTGTTCCACGAGAGCATCCTGCTGGCCATTGCCCTGCTGGAAGGTGGCAACACCACGATCCAGGTARGGAAATGGAAAACTTCATCCCGTCACTGAACCGTGCCGGGAAGGGAAATGTTTTTGTGAAATCCAGGAAACTCAGAGGGTTGAGGAGGTGGGAGGGGAAATGACTAAATGATCTTTGACCTGTAATTAAGGGAAATATTAGTGTCTACCATGCAAAAGTGAATTTATTAAATGTTTGCATGGGCRCTGGGTAATTGAGGTGCTTTCCCAGGGCAATACAGAGGAATGTATAATAAAACAGATTCATAGGTGAGTTACTAATGGCTCTTACAAATAAGTTTAAGCAGCTGCAGTGTGCTCAGAGAATTGTTGAATTTCAGAGTGGAATTTGAAAKAAGTGTATGGCAAATTCCAGACCACCACCATTCTCCTGCAATCTTGTTCTYGCTTTCTCTGTTTTCAATTAGATTAGATTCCCCTAAATGAAAATTGTCCCTGGTGTGAATTGTAATGCACACCAGTGAGCTCTTAGAGCATTCTTCCAAACAGAAAGTAAAACCTTATTCCAGCAAAACTTGCTTGCAAATTTGACTAAATGTGTGATATCTGATTCTTCTGTAAGTGTTGTGTTTGTGGTCTGTCTGTGGGCTGAGTCCTGACCAGTTAGAACTGATTGTTGTGGTTAAAACAYGCACAAGATCCCTCCAGCAGCACCTCCTCTGTCCGTGCAGACTTTACTTGAGAGGACAGGGAATGTCTTTGGGCTCCTTCACTCTGTCTCTGTAATCAGTACCCTCATTATTCCCCTGTGTATATGCTCTGGAATGAAACTTCTTTTGCAAAAGATAAAGCAGGAATTGAGTGTTGAAAATCCTGTGTCACCTCAAATTGCAGTGACAGGATTAACATTCCTGGGGGACAGTCAYTCCTTTAGATTTCCTGCTCTCCTCCAATGTAAGGGAAGCTGAGCTTTCATCTGTACAGCTCTCAGGGAGCCTCAGGTAACCTTGCACTGTCRTGCTGGAAGGAAAAACAAACTGCACCAGCCTGACATGGAGAGATCCTTTACTTGTGCTGGACCCCAGGGCTAAAGGAYKGAGCAAAGTCAYTTCCCAYCTGCAKGAATCCATGCTGGAAGCAGATTCCWKAGCTCACCCACTGAAAACCAACAGGAAAATCTGCAGTCCATCTCTAAAACCACCTTTTTTGCCCAAAAGGGAGATGGTTTAGTTTGAATTTGCTGTCTGACCAGGAGCTGGAGGCTGTGGGGTAACTGATGGTTGGCTCTCAGAGCAGTGGTGTTTTCTGTGCACTCCTGCCAGCTCCTGCTGTKCTCCAGCCTCTCCAGATGTGCCTCCACAGCCCATAGTGGCTGTTTTCTGTCCTTTCCCACTCAGGATTCCTGGCAGGTGTCTGCAGGATGTTCTCCAGCAGTCCCTGGGTGTGTGTGTGCTCTGGTGGGATGGGCTGGGAGGGGGCTCTGCTCCAGTGTGGGCTGCTGCTGCTGCTCACAGAAAGGTTGAGGAGCCAAAAGCCTTGTGATCCTTGCCTACAGCTAATGCTGGGAGCTCTGAGGGCTCAGACACACCCAGCAGCTCTTACTCATGCATGGAAAGCACCAACGGGATGTTATTGAAAATATCCCGTGGAGTGCTGGGATGTGGATGTTCCATGTGGGAACACTCCTCGRGCTTGGGAGCAAAAGGCTGCAAAGGAGCATAATCAGTGCACAAAGGTGTTCTGTGGCTTTCCCTGTGCTGGTTAAACTCCTGGTGGTAGGGGGAGAGTTTTCTGGTGGCTCCAGCAGGAGGGGGTTGTGGGGTTTTGGGGAGCAGCACGTCCTCAGCACTCCCAACTCTCTGTAGGGCTTCAGGCAGGAGAACTTCAGTGGGAAAAACACCAACCACAAAGCTTAACTTCTGGGGRAACAGCTGGCTCCACGCTGGGAATCAAAGCGAAGGTGGAGGCTTGCTCTTTAGTAAAATCATCAGTTCAGGGCTCTATCTCCCCGGGTGATTGCTGAGTGCTGTGATGGCCAAGTTTAACTGGTATCCTGAGACTGTGAACTCGAGTAATGGAGCTTTGCTGTCTCCACGTAGGRAGGATGGCTCCAAATGCACAGGGCCCTGGGTGCAGCCCAGCTGTTCAGCAGAGCTGTGTGGGTACTTGCTAATCTGCAAAGCTGATGGGTTTTGTACAGCAGCCTTTGGCTATGACAGTGAAGATTTACTGAGTGCAGCAAAGYGATGGTCTCCCCATAGCAGGAATCGGTTTTTACAAAATACGCTGCAAAATTTGGCTGCTCTTGGGAACAAGATGCAYTTAGGAGAATGAACCCAGTACTCCTCTTGTGTTTTATCCCGATCTTTCTCTTACCTGTGTTCTTTTGGAGAGTTTTGCAGAGTGGGTAGGTAGGGCTTGGCAACCTCTGCAATCTGCAGAGTGGATTTTCTGCAGTTCTTTTGCAGTCTCCAGTAAGTGCCAGTGGAAGAGTCATCCTCAGTCTCTGGACTAATAACTGTGTTCATTTGTCATTGTGAAAGTCRACCTAGCCAAACCAACCAGCTTTGTCTTTGAGGTCTAACACAGTTTATCTTAATTCCACATTTTTTTTGGTTATTATTAGCAGCTTTTGATTGATAGTGTTCCAAACATGTTTGTTCTGTGCTCAGTTTGAATAATTTCTACTGAACTTCARTTGCCTCTATCTGCAGGCCTTTGAGCATAGGGAAGTGGTGGGATAGGGACAGGTTATGTAAAAAAGCTTCTTTGGCAGCAAAGCCAGAAATGTGTCACCCTTGCATGGCATTTTCCTGACTCCTGGTTTTCACACGGGAAATTAATTCAGCCTGAAGTGCAGCAGAAGGTTTGTACCAACACACAGGGACTTGCACATGATGATTGTAATATGGTTAATAATGGGAGTTCCCGGGAMACTCCCAAGAGCTGCAGTGGGAGAGCAGATCCCCATGATGCTGGGATGGGATAACTGGAATAGGTGTTGCTGTTTCATTAGGTGCAGGCAGGGCTGATATTAAGGGTAGGCAAAGTAGGTGGTTGCCAACTCCAGCAGAAAAGCAAATCTCGAAATGTTCCTGATTGTATTTGTTAGGAGGGGTTTCCATAGTTTTGTTACGAAAATGAACGTGGGGGAGAAGCAGGACAAGAGCAAAGGTTGCTGTTCTCTGGAGGAAGGAGGCTGAGCTGGTGCTGTGCATCACTGTGGGTTCCACACTGCTCCACATTTCACTGCTGGGCTGATGGGAATGGGGCAAACGAGCTCTTCTGGGAAGGTCTGCCTGCTTCCAGCTCTCTGGGTGGAAACTTTCTGGGGCTTAGCGTTTGGAATGAGCACTGGAGGGGCTTTGGTAGCAGCGTGGTGGTGACCTTGTGGCTGTGCCYGGTGAGCTCGTCACTCTGGTTCCTTCAGTGGGAAGCCTGCCCTCGTTTGCACGGAGACACAGGCAGAGGTGCAAGCACAGGGTCAAAGACAACAAATTAACTTGACAAATGCTGCAACTCACTGAGCTGCAAATTACATCAACCCCTTGATTAATTTATGTCACCCTGAGCATCCCCCTGGGGAGCACTGGCTCAGTGGTTGTGCAGCAGCCCTGGGGGTGCCCCACACTCTGCCCTGGAGGGTGAGGGCTCAGTGTGCCCTGCTCCCTGTGCCCAGTGCCTGCTGCCCTCCTGGGGCTGCTCTGGGCTCTCTTCTGCAGAATCAGGAATGCTCTGGTGGTGCTGATGCTCGTGGGCACTCAGAGCTGCATCTCCTCAGGAAGGGACGAACTCAGTCCCTTCCCACACACGTGGCAGCACGGGAGGTTTTCCTTTGCCACAGCAACTGTGGCGATGAGTGACAGCGCAGGAAATTGCCCAGGACTCKTCCTGCAATGCTCATCTCTCATCTGCAAAGTGAAAATTCCATGTGCCGTTCCTGTGCCTCACCTCGGCTGAGTTTCGGCTTTCCTCAAGCTAATGGCAAGTAAAGTCCCTTACATAACACCTCTCCATGGAGACTCTGCTCCTTTAATTAGGGATCTTCTCCAAAGTCAGCTTGCGTGACAAATTACCCACACGCACATGTTGGCGCTTTCAGCAGGGGAAGGTAAAATGAGGTTGGTGACATTGGCTGTTTCAGACGGTTTTTAAGTGCTGCCCCAAGGTGACACAACACATTCTGCCACGTCACAGAGCTGCCTTGGCTCCCCTCTGTCCATTGTTGTCCCCAAGGTGGGTGGCAGACACTGAGGGTGAGGAGATGGGAGGTGGCACGCAAGGAATGGGTGATTATTTTTCARGAAAGAAGTGGGATTTGCTCTTTTAATGCATCTGAGCAGAGTTGTTGCTCCTGTGCAGAGGATGATGATGGGATGTGCTTCACTCCCATGTCCCCCAGCAGCTGAGTATGGGGGACCTGACAGACACCAAGARCAGCACCAAGGAGCTGGTGGGGGTGGACTGGAGAGTTGTGCCTGCCTCACAGCATGGCAAGGGTGAATCCATGTCATATGGAATGGTGGCTTGGMGCTCACCATGGCTGTGTGAGGCTCCTTTGAGATGTGACTGTGCAAAAAGCTTGTGGCTCTGAGCTGTTTGAACTCGCAGAGCTGTTGGTTGAGGATCTGTGTGCCCTCCCTTGAGTGTTCCCTGGGGCTGTGGCCCTGCTGCCCATGGGACAGTACCATGGATGCAGAATTCCCAGCTGCCACCTCCTTGTTGGTCAGCTTTGGTAGGAAATTCTGGACTGGACACACACAGCTCTCCCATCCCAACTCTGTTTTCTCCATCCTTGGACCCAGTTATTTCAATATTTTTCCTCATGTGTTGCCACCAGCAAGGAATCTCCACCATGGTGAATCGTGTTCTCCTTCTCTGTGCCTCAGACTGTCCAGAGATGATCGATAGTTACTGCATAATTGCACAAAGGGATTGATGCACAAAAGGAATTGAATCCAGAGCTCTCCAGTGCCTTCTGGCTCTTGGGGGACCCAGGTCAGCCACAGCCCTTGTGTGGGAGAGAGCAGAGACTTCAARACAAATTTGTGTCCTTG